CTATTAATTTATTTATGTATTTATTTATTTAGAGACAGGATCTTGCTAAAATTGCCTAGGCTGGACGAAAACTTGAAATCCTTCTGCTTCAGCCTCCCACAGTTCTGGGATTATCTGTATACAACAGCACATCTGGTTGTGGGCTGCTTTTTCTTTTCACTTCTTTCTTTCATGTTGTAAGAGTCTTCATGATCCTATATGCATTCTTGTTGGTTTCCAACGTTTTTTTTTTAAACTTGGGTCCTTGTGCTTTCGAAGCGGACAGCGGAACCACTGAGCTAAATCCCTGGCCCTGCTTCCAATGTTTTTAAAAAAGGTTTTATAATATGTTGCCTGGGTTGGTCTCAGACTCTTGGGGTTAAGTGGTCTCCCTGTCTCAGCCTCCCAAATATCTGGGACTATAGGCTCATGCAGCATGTCTTCATTCATTCATTCATTCATTCATTCATTTATGAGCCACAGTCTTGCCATGTAGTCCAGGCTGGCCTTGAACTTACTATGTAGCCCAGATGGCCTCAAATTTGCAGTGATCCTGCCTCAGCCTCCTGCATGCTGGGATTACAGACATGCCACCACGCCTGGCACCATGCATAAATTTTTTAAAAATTACCTATAGAAAAGTTGAAAGATTAATGATACCTACCAAGATTCTTACCTAGATTACCACTTGTTCATACTTTGCCACTTTTGCTGTTTGTCTGACTGTTGAGCCATTTAAAAGAAAAGGACAAAAGGGCCGGGGATTTAGCTCAGTGGTTTCGCCGCCTGCTGTGCAAGTGCAAGGATGCGAGTTGGATCCCCGGTACCAAAAAAAAGATACACTTTTGGGCCGGGGATTTAGCTCAGTGGTTCCGCCGCCTGCCTCACAAGCGGAGGGACCAGAGTTCGATCTTCGGTACTGCCCCCCCAAAAGAAAACAGCAGTCCCTTACAAAACTACAATACTCAAGATCATCACAGTCAAATTGAATATTTACACAATGATATTGTCTAGTAAAGTCTGTATTCACTTTTCTGCTTTTTTTTTTTTTTTTTTTTGGTACCGGGGATTGAACTTGGGTCCTTTGCACTTGCGAGGCAGGCACTGGAACCATTGAGCTAAATCCCTGGTCCTTGTATTCACTTTTCTGCAGTCATCGAATTATGTCCTTTGTTGCCTTTTCCAAAATACTAGAATCTTAATCATAATGTATTTTACCCTCCTTTAATTTAGAACATTTCTTTGTCCCTTTGCTTTATCTTTGTTACTAAGGAGTCTAGTTTTTGGTAGGATGACCCCAGCATCTGCTTTGGCTAATGGTTTCCTAAGATTTAGGTTAAACATAGACAATGTCCTTTTTAGAAAATTAGAAGACACACTAGTGTTGTTTTATCCCATTATTGGTGATTTCACATTATGATATTTGGTTAAGGAAGTGTCTACTGGGTTTCCTCATCATAGACGTGCCTTTTTCTCTCTGTAATTAATAAATAAGCTATGAGGGCCGGGGATTTAGCTCAGTGGTTGCGCTGCCTGCCTCGCAAATGCAAGGACCCAAGTTTGATCCCCAGTACCGCCCCCCCCAAATAAGTAAGCTATGAGACAATGCTTTGAGACTGAATATCCTGTTCCCTCCCTGCCTGCCTGCCTGCCTCCCTCCCCCCTCTCCCCTTTCTTTTCTCTTTTTCTTTCTGTACCAGAGATATGTATGTATATATATATGAATGTGTAAGTAAATATATATATAGTCACTATATTTTTTTAAAAATTTACTTTATTATAATCTGTTACTATGATCTTGTTTTGGATGCTCAAATTGTCCTAAATTTGGCTAGTCCCTTCAAGCTTGTTTTTGTCTTTTAACATGTCCTGGTTGGTTTGAGCCTTTTTTTTTTTTCTTCAAGTTTATTGGTACATTTTAGGTATACAATAATACGATGACGTTCATCATTGGAAATTTGTACCTTTACATGATGTATCTTGGTTCTTATTTTTTCCCCATTCTTTTGCCCTCCCTTCAACCCCTCCACCCCTCCCTATTTACAAAGACTTTGTTCCCATTTTTCCCTTTTCTCATATTTTTTCCTTTCCCCTACCCCTGCCAGTTTTCCTTCCCCTTCAGACCTTTTCTTCCTATTTCACATTATCTATTACACATTTTAACCCTTATTTATACTTTCAGTTTCTCACACCAGAAAATCTATTTGGTATTTGTACATGTGTGTCTTATTTATTTCACTTAAGATTATGGCCTCAATGTGCATTCATTTAGCTATAAATGTCTCTAGTTTTTCACTCTTCACGGCTGAGTAGTACTCCATTTTATAAAAAAACCACATCTTCTTTACCCAGTCTCCAGTTGATGGGCAGTTGGGCTGTTTCCAAGTTTTAGCTATTATAAACATGGATGTGCATATATTGCTGTGGTATGATTCTTTTAATTCTTTTGGAAAGATTCCCAAAGGAATAGCTGGGTCAAATGGGACTTCCAATCCTAGTTGTTTGATGTGTCTCCATACTGATTTCCACAGTAGTTGCACCAGTCTGCACTCCCATCAACAATGGAGAAGGGTTCCTTTCTCCCCACAACCCTACCTGTATTTATTTTTGGTTGATTTCTTGATAGCAGCCATTTTTTTTGGAATGAGGTGGAATCACAGTGTTTTTTTCATCTGCATCTCTCAAATGACCAGTGATGTTGAATATTTTTTCATATGCTTATTTGCTGCTTTTACTTCTTTGTCTGAGAAATGTTTGTTCATTTCAGATGCCCATTTTTGAATTGGGTCTTTAAATTTTGGGGGGTCTGATTTTTTTAAGTTCTTTATATATTCTAGACAGTAGTCCTTTGTCTGATTGAGCCTTACTTTCTAGAACAGCAGATATGCTTCATGTGCTTTGTATTTTCTCATTGAACTGAAATTAGACCATTCAAGAGTCTGATTTCCTTTTTTTTTTTTTTCTTAGTACCGGGGATTGAACTCAGGACCTTGCGCTTTTGAGCCAGGTGGCAGAACCACTGAGCTAAATCCCCAGCCCAAGAGCCTGATTTCCTTATGGGGAATTCTGTTTCAAAATCAAAGTCTTAGCCAGGCATGGTGGCACCTACCTGTAATCCCAGCACTTGGGAGACTGAGGCAGGAGGCTTATGAGTTTGAGGTCATCCTGGGCTACATAGTGAGTTCGAGGAGCCTGAACTACACATAGTGAGACCCAATCTCAAAAGAAAAAAAAAAATACAAAAAAACGGGCCAGGGATGTCGCTCAGTTGTGCTTGTCTATCTGGCAAGCGCAAGGTCCTGAATTTGATCCCCAGGACCGAAAAAACAAAACAAAAGCAAAAAACCAAGGTCTTGTGTGAACATTGCTTTTGAGATTTCATTGCTTCTAGTTTACTTCAGTGAGGAGTCCTGGGAAATATATTATACATGTACATGCACATAGTTTTAAATAATGAATTTTTACTGATAATTTCCAGTTTCAATTCATCATCAGTGTTCTTCTTTCCACTCTTCTTTCCTTATTTCCTGCATGTAGCTTCCTTTTCCCAGAGTGTGAGAACCCGGTTCCCGAAAGTGTCAGTATATTTATTCATTTGCTGTTTCACAGTGAACACTGTGTAGTTTTGGGAATTAGTGCATCACTTCCATTACTGGTTCCATTTGCCTAGCCACAATGTTCCAGTGAATATAGGCAATTGAAGTACTTTACAAAAACACTGAGATAACAAAGATTGTATAAATAACATGATTGATTTATTTCTGCCATATCTGATTTTAGGGTTCCTCTCCTATCTATCTATCTGTTACTTTTGTGGCACGGGGGATGAATCCCGGGTCTTTCCACTGAGCTACAGTTCCAGTCCTTTTATTTCAAGATAGGACACCCCCCACCACCACCACCCCGCATAGGGAATTAAACTCAGGACCTTGTGTTTGCCAGCCAGTCATGGTGCCACTGAGCTCAATCCCCGGCCGGAGACAGGATTTTCTCAATTCACTGAGGTGTCCAGACTGGCTTGAATTTGCTATCCTCCTGTTTTAGCCTCCCACCATGCTGGGATTACAGGTGTGCCATTATGCCAGGCTTTTTTTTTTTTTAATAGCCCAGGAAGACACAGGGCTTTATGCATCCTAATCATGCAACTCCACCAATGAGCCACCCTCCAAGCACTCTGTCAATATATGTATGAACCAGTTACTTATACATACAGTTTACTTGTAGTTCCACCTGGTTTAATGTAACTTTTAACTTGTCTAATGCCCTAATGTCTGTTAAGGCAAGTTGTCCCTTCACTGTTCTTTCTCTGAATTTTATTGACTGTTGTAACCCATTTTTTAAATTAGAACTTACAATATTCTATTTCTGTTTTCCATTAACATTAAATGAAACCTTGAAGATACAGAGAAGAAAATAAAGTTTTGGCTCCTCTCATCTCCTGTTGTTCTAGGAGATTCCCAGCTCTGAGTTGAGTAATAACCAACTAACTAACATATTTTCTATTAGTTTCTCTTCTTCAGTTCCCCAGAGTGAAATAAAATCTCACTTAAAAAAAAAAAGCCTGTCATCATTGAGTTTGCAGTTGGTAGTTTGAGACTGTCTTAATAGCCAAAACTGTGTCCATCTCTGTTGTTAATAGCTTTAAGTAATGGTGTAGCATGAAATTAGAATAGTTTATGTGACATAAGCACAGGAGATGTGTTTGATAATCTTTCAACTCTTTTTAAATCTAATTTCCAGCCACCTGTCTTCACCAGTTTCCAAGACTATGTGTCTGGACTTCAGACTTTAATTTCCAACGTTGTGGATCATATTAAAGGGCTTGAAACACATCTAATTGCACTTAAGCTTGAAGAACTTATTTTAGAAGACACTTCTTTCTCTCTGGTAAGAGATTATAGGCAGTTCATGTTTTTATAAGCTTGTTTGGTTGCTCTTAAGTGATGAATTAACACATAAAATTATGGGGGGGGACTTCTGGAATAACAATATGAAGAGCTCCTCAGACCCACTTTCTATTGAAACAACCATAACTGGTGAACATTATTATTGTTGTCTTAGGGCTGTAGAGCAAATGAAGAAACATTTATTCAAGAAAATCTGCCAAAACTCATTAAAAACAGCAAGGTTTGGGGGCACTTGAGCCTGTCTTAGGGCTGTAGAGCACATGAAGAAACATTTATTCAAGAAAATCTGCCAAAACTCATTAAAAACAGCAAGGTTTTGGGGCACTTGAGCCACAACTTGCTGTGCTCTTCCAGTTTGTCTTTGGTATATCTAAATTTCTAGCATCACTACTCTTGTGCTCTGGGGCCATTATTAAGTAAAATAAGTGTTATTTGAACACAAGCATCTGGACAATGCAGTAGTCAGCGTGATAACCAAGCCAACTACTAAGTGACTGACAGGCAGGTAACATACAGTGGGGATGTAGCCCAGTGTTCTTGGGTTCAGTCCCCAGTATTGCACAAAAACAAGACAGAACACACAAACATAAAAAGCAGTAAGAGATGGTGAGGATGTAGAGAAATTGGAATCCACACATACTGTTAATTAGAATACAAAATGGTGTACCTGCTTTGGAATACAACAGCTCTCAAAATGGTAAACAGTAACCTGTGTCCACACAAAGACTAATACATAAATGTTCTTGGTAGCATGTTTCATAATAGCTAAAAAATGGAAATAACCTAAATGTTCATTTCTTGAATGGATAAAATATGTTATAGCCACACAATGGAATTTTAATGTGACAGAAAAAAGAGTAGTGAAATACGGACACATGGGACAACATAGGGGAATCTTAAAAACATAGAAGAAGCCAGTCACAAAAAAGCATCGATATTATTTCATTTATATGAAATTTTTAGAAGAAGCAAATATACAGAAGCAGGAAGTAGATTAGTGCTTGCCTATGGCTGGAAAGTTGAAGGGGGTGTTCCTGTTTTTTGGGGTGCTGAAAGTATTCTAAAATTGATTATGTTGATGGCTACACATTTGAAAACCATTATAGCCAGGCTTGGTGGTGGAGGCCTGTGGTACCAGCAGAGGATCGCGGCAAGTTCAAGGCCACCCTGGTCTATGTAGTGAGAGCCTATCTCAAAAAAATAAAACAAAACTATCGAACACTTTGAATGGGCTAATTGTATGGTTTGAGAACTGTACTTTATATATATGCATTCAGATTTTTTTTTATTATAAGCACAAACTTTCAATTAATCATTCTTTCCTTATAGCCCTTCTAACTAAGCTGAGTACAGTGGCGCATGCCTGTAATCCCAGCACTCTAGGAGGCTGAGGCAAGAGGGTCTCAAGTTCAGGCCCAGCCTGGGGAACTTACTGATTTAATGAGACTCTCTCAAAATAAAAAATGAAAAAAGGGCTGGGGATATATTTCAGTGCAGAGGTCCTGGGTTCAATCCTCCAGTATCACGGGAGTAAAAAGACTTGTGAGTAGGGGTTAGCTTGGCAGTTTTTTTTTTTTTGAGGCAGGGTCTCCCTTTGTAGTTCATGCTGGCCCTGAACTCACTCTGTTAGCCCAGGCTAGTCTGGAACTCAAGTGATCCTCCTGCCTCAGCCTCCCAAGTGCTGGGATCACAGGCGTGTGCCACCACACCCAGCTCTGGGAGTTTTTTTGTTTAAGTTTCTTTTCTTTCTTTTTTTTTAATCTTTATAGTTAGTATATGTTTGCAATATAGCAGTAGTTTTTTATTGTGTTGATGGTGGGTTTTGTTCTCTTTCTTTCCCATCCTTGTACACATTTTTGGCATTGTTCTTTTACTATGGAAACTAATGTCAGCATGATGAATTGGTTCCTGTTTTGAGTACCAGAGAAAATCAGCTATACTGTTGGGATTTAGGGATAGTTTCCTTGAATAAGAATTTACCTGCTGCAGAATTGGTTGGCTTCCTTGCTACCCCAGCAGTTATCACCTGAAAAAATAGATGTTGGACATTGTAAATAATTATGTCAGTCATAATTAGGCTAAAACAAGCAGGCCACAAAGGAAATAGAACCAAGTAGGAATCAAAAAGTACCAACCACCAGGTGTGTCCTGATATTATTTTAAGCGCTTTTCTTTGTTTTTGTTTTTTTTTGGTAGTGGGGACCTTGCGCTTTTGAGGAAGGTGGCTTGGAACCACTGAGCTAAATCCCCGGCCTGGCCCTTAAGCACTTTTCTTAAAGTTCTGATTGTTGTTAGCATAATCCCTGTGAAACCTTTCTCTTTAAAATATGAATTCTTTCTGGGTATGGTGGAACATGCCTATAATCCTAGCACTTGGGAAGCAGAGGCAGGAGGATCGCTTCAAGTTGGAGGCCAGCCTGGGCTACATAGTGAGTTCAAGGGCACCTCGACTATATAGTGAGACCCTAGTTCAAAAAAAAAAACAACCCCAAAACAAACAAACAAATGAATTCTTCCTGGTGAGTGTTACTTAACTTGCCTAGATTAGGTTTAGAAGTTTGGTAGGGGCCCTACAGGCAGTGGTTGAACAATGTGTTTCTATCCAGCTGCTCCAGAAAGGAAACGTTTTAGAGAAAGCTTTCTTTGAGTAGTTAATCTGGCTTAAACTTTGCCAATGAGGGAATTCATCCAGCAATCTGAAGGCAGCCATAGCCCTGGCCCCAAACCTCCACCCAGACCCTCCTAGGGAAAGAAATGAGTGGAATCTCACTGGCATACCAGCCTTAAAAGATTGTAAGCAAGCTCTGCTTTTGTAAAATTTAAATAGGTTAGAACTCTGAACAAGCTGTTTGCTTCCTATGGGAAGGGGCTCAGAGCATTTGACGTTACCAGAGACTGATTAATAAAGCAGATATGGTCACATTGAAATGAGTGAGTCAGAAAGTCTCATTGGAGCAGGGACATTTGAAGATTTCCTCTTTTTATTTTTATTTTTGGTACCGGGGATGGAACTCGGGTCCTTGCATTTGCGTAGCAGGCGGTGAAACCACTGAGCTAAATCCCCGGCCCAAGATTTCCCCTTTTATTTGGTACCAGGGATCAAACTCAGGACATTGCGCTTTCGAGGCAGGAGGCAGAACCACTGAGGTAAATCCCCAGCCCCATTTGAGGATTAATAAAGGTTTTGCCAGGCAGACAGAAACAGAGGAAACACATTGATACAGTAAGGCAGTCGTGTGGGGCATCATGGTCAGCCAGGCGAAAGCACAAGGTGCATGGGAAGGGCTGTTAGAGATTGCGCTTACTGTTTTTGTTAAGAGATCTGTCTGTTGAAATGAGGAGCAAGACGTTACCCTTAATTTTGTAATACTCTTTAGATTTTTCTAGCTCTGGTTCTGTCCTCAACTTTTGACCCTAGAAAAGTTACTCACCTTCTCTGAACCTCAATTTCTTTATTTGTAAATGGAGACACTGATCATTACTTCCTGGGATTACAGTGAGGATTTAACAAGCAGTAATTGGCTTTATATTGCCTGTGTTTGTGAAAGTCATGATGGATATAGTACACTGAGTAGTACCAGCTACCCAGGAGTGTCCATAGAGTGCTAGGTACTTTGGGGTTAAAAAAAATTTCCCTTCAATTTAATTTCTATAGGGCTTGCCTCCTTTTTATTTTTTTCCTTTTCTTCTAAGCTTGTGAGCCTATGAATCAGACCTCTTGATTATGGCCTCTAGTCCTAATCTCTTTTTCTGTTCCCATGGGAAGACCTTTTGTCTTGACCGCATATGTCAGGACCCTTTTTGTATATTTATACTCATGGAGAAAATTTATTGTATTATTTTGTACACCACGAGACATTCTATTCTACTTGGGTTTGTTTGTTTTTGACACAGGGTCTCGTTATGTAGTTCAGGCTAGTCTTGAACTCTCTATGTATCCCAAATTGGCCTCAAATTTGTGGCACTCCTTTTGCTTCAGCCTCCTGAGTGCTGGGATTATAGGAGTGTGCCACCTCACCTGGCTATTAGGCATTTTTTTTTTTTTTTTTTATTCAACCTTATATTCAAGAGACCTTGAGGCTACTTTATCTGGATCAATCTCATTCATTAAATGGCTGAATAGTATGCAAAATATGAGTGTACCTTGGATGTTTTAGGTGGCCCTTTCCCTTCCCTCCCCTTCTTTCTTGTCTTCTCTCTCTTTAGTTTGTGGTTTTGGGGATTGAACCCAGGGCCTTCACATTGAACTAGATCTCCAGCCCTTTTTTATTTTTTGAGACAGAGTCTTGCTAAGTTGTCTATATCGATCTCTCAAAATTGCAATCCTTCTGCCTCAGCCTTCCAGGGTACTAGAATTATAAGTGTGTGCCACCATGGCTGGTTTGTGTTCTCTCTTTATACATTCATCCCTCAGTATATATGCACAGTTGGATATTATGCAGAAGACACACATGCACTGTGCATACCAGAAATCCACAGAGGCTCAGGTCTCTTTAAAAAAAAAAAGGCATAGTATTTGCATAGGACATGCCCACATCCTCTGGTATACTTTATATATATAAATACTTCATATATATATACTTTATATATAATCTCTCCATTAGTGACATATTTAATACCATGTAAATGTTAAATATTTGTCACACTGTTTTGATCTTAATGACAATAAACAGATCTTAATGTATTCAGCACAGACTCATTTCCCCCCCTGAATAGTTTCAATACATCGTTGGTTGAATCTGGATTAAGAACATGTGAATATAGAAGGCTGAATGTAGTTGGTTTTACATCTGATGCTGAATGAAATACGTTTTTTTTGTTATTTTTTGTTTTGTTTGGTTTTGGTACCAGGGATCAAACTCAGGACTTTGTGCCTGCCAGGCAGGCACGGCACCCCTGAGCTACATCCTTGGCCTGAATGAAATATGTTTTTCCAGACCTTCGTATGCATATGTGTATTTCTAAGGTAGACTGAATCTGCTAGAGTACTGTTGTACCTGGTTTCTCTTGTATTTTTGGATTTTGCAATACTGCTACCTTCATGTAAACCTGACCAGTCCTCACTCATCTTCCTTCCTCTATTTGAACACTACATCCCATTTACTTTTTATGGTTCTTACAACTGCAAATATGTGGCAGCAAATACTGTACAGTATTTATTGAGGAGGGTTAAAAAACTTTGGCTTTTTATTGTTTGGTCTCTTGAATTTATGGACTTTGTAAGATGGAGGGAGACTTGTAAGTATATCTGCAAAAACTGGAGTTAGAACTGAGCATTGTGGTGCATCCCTGTAATTCCAGCACTCAGGAGGCTGAAGCAGGAGGACTGCAGTGAGTTTGAGGCCAGCCTGGGCTACATAGTGAGACCCTGTCTCAAACAAAACAAAACAAAAAACAAAAAAAGATGGAGTTAATAAAATTGATGCCGTTATATTAAGTGGCTGTGGTGATCTCCAAATGAGTATAAATACCTGCCATATATATATATTTTATTTTATATTTATATATATTTTTATTATATATATATATATATTTTTGGTACTGGGGATCAAACTCAGGATCTTCCACTCGCAAGGCAGGCAGTGGCACCACTGAGCTAAATCCCCTGCCCTACCTGCTATATTTTTTATGTAAACAAAAAAATCAGAAATTATAATTTTTACACTTTTTATAGCTTATAATAAAGTAGTAATGATTTTATGTTCAAACTGCTTAGAAGTAATTTACCATTTTTTCTTGATTAAAAGCTAACAGATAGAAATCTCAGTTTTTCTACTTTATGTAACTTACAGAAAAATGTATTTGACAGAATAATAATGCTGAAGCAAAAAGGTTTTGTTGAAAAGTTACATGGAAAAACATGACTGCATTTAGACATGTTTGTGCTTTAGCCTTCTGTGCACTTCATGACATGGAAAGTTACCCATCCTATTCTGATAGAGCTTCCAGTGAGGTGATGGTAGTTTGAAATTTTATCTGAGGAACTGTAATGTAGGAGGATGAATTTTGAGCAAAACCTCTTATTTTTGTCTTTTTGCAGGAAGAGAGAAAATTTTCAAAGACTGTGCAAGAGAAGGTGCAGGGCAGTTATCTGCACTCACTTCTGGAAATGGGGGAGCTGCTGAAAAGAAGGCTCGAGACCACAAAGAAACTAAAAATTTAACGACATATAAAGCATAAGCACTGATGACTCTACAGCAGAAAATGACAGTACCATCTTCCCAGACAAAAGCAACATCTGGTTGACCATCATTTTAATCCAGAACTTCCTCATAAAATGCATGAAGGACTTTGATCGTGAATTAATTTTTTAGGTATTAAATATATACAACTGATTAAATTATTGTATATAAATCAGAAGCAGGACCCTTATCTGGGTTTGACCACTTTTTATACATGTTCATATACATATGGCAGCAACAAGAGTACCCTACTTTTCTTCCCTCCCATTACCAGAAACATGGGGGGTGGGGTGGTAAAAGCAGCAATAGAAATTAAGTGTAAAGCATCAACCTCAGAGCAGCTGAATCAGCCCTCCCATTGGAGCAAAGGGAGTTTTAGCCTGGTCGTGAGTCATAGGAAGCAAAAAGCAGAGGTAGTGGGAGACGTGATTAGGAGCAGGCCCTTGTCCACAGCAGGCTTTCTCAGCTATGTTACTCCTACAGAACTCCAGGCAAGTCCACCTCTGCTGAGATTGGGCATAAGTACTTGTTCTGAAAGGCACCACGAAGATGACCACAGGTGCTCACTTTTGACTTAACGGTCTTGATAGCCAAGATGTCCCCATCCCTCCTGTGAGAATTAAGTCTCAGATAGAAGGCAAAGATAGCTCTCTTAATTTACTGCTGTTTAGAGGGGAAAGCAGTGCAGACCACTTAATAAACCTGCTGAGGACTAGTTTGCTGTCGTTTATCCAATTGGGAATCACTGTTTTAGAGAGAGGTGTACATAATTTATACAGGCAAGTCTGATAGTTCTTTCATTGGTTTTGTGAGTCATTCTGCAATTGATTTGAGTCCTTCA